GCCACTTCCCTCACTCTCAAAACCCAACATTTTAATCAGTCACCACATCCTGTTGATTCCACCTCAAAACTCTGTCCTGAATCCATCTATGTCTCTTCACCTCCACCTGCCATCACCTCTTGCCTTAACCACTACAACAGCCTCCTGTTTTTCCTATATCTGCTCTCATATTCCTCCAAATTGATGGCCACACCACAGCCAGAGGGGTATTATAAAAAGACCTATCTGATTCTGTCACTTTTTTGTTTAGAATCCTGGCTTCCCACTGACCTTAAATATGTAAAATCCTTACTATGTTTTATGGGCATGTGGCCCCAGCTTGCCTCTACAGCTTCACCTCACATCACACTCCCCACTTCTCCAGACATACTAGGTTTCACAAATGGGCATGTGAATCCATGGCATTTGAATCCTGAACGTGCATTACCAGGCCCTTTCTATTTCCTGTCCTTGATCTTAGGCGACCTTGCTCTATTTTTGTCAGCAACCTAGAAAGAAGGTAAAGACCACCTATAATATTCCTCCCTACTCCACATCTGAGGGACCCTTCCCCACTCTAGTTCACTTCTTAGGACCCTGTCCAAATGTCACTTTCCCACCACCCCACACTAGACTTTGAGTTCCATGGTTATATGTTTTCTAGCACCTCTGTGCTTCTACTTGGTACACATTTCACATCTGTGGTACCTTATTCAAAATCGGTCTGTTCTGCTAGACTGGCAGCTCCAGAAGGCAGGAACTTAATGTATTTCTAGAGTCCCACACATATAGTGACTGGCATGTGCCATGCATGCAAATAGTTTCTAAATGAACAATGGCTTTTCCTGAAGCTTTGGTGAGGTGTTTCTACCCTTCTCATGAATTAAGTGCTGGCCCATGCATGTATTTTTTTTCATCCCAGAGACTATTTTTTTTTAAAGATTTATTTATTTATTTGAGACAGAGAGAGAACACAAATGGGGGGGAGGGGCAGAGGAAGAGGGAGAAGCAGACTCCCCACTGAGCAGGGAGCCCCACACAGGGTTCAATCTCAGGACCCTGGGATCATGACCTGAGCCGAAGGCAGATGCTTAACCAACTGAGCCACCCAGGCGCCCCCTGCCCGAGACTATTTTTAACAGACCTTAGAACACACAGACCTTAGGACAACCTATGCCTTATTGTAAAAATGTGCCATTTTTGGTAAGTTCAAAAAGAACAAAACAAGCTGTGTGTATGATATTACATATACTATGATGCTGGGTCAGACTATGACATCCCCTATACACAAGGTCTAGAAGAACTAGAATTCTCAATGCAAGGTCCCTCTTTTCAGAGGTACTGCCAATTTCATGGGTTTTTTTAACTGAGCCACTTCATTGCTTACTGTGGGCCTTCACAGATCTTCTAATCACTGTGGCCAAGCACTGTAAGGCAGGGAAAGACAAACTACAGCCCACGCACCAAATCTACCCGCCCCCGCATTTTTGTAAACAACGTTTTACTGGAACCCAACCGTTTGTTTATGTATTGTCTATAGCTGCCTTTGCACTCCAATGGCAGAGCTGAACAGATGCACTGAGACTGTAAGGCTGGCAAAACCTAATTTACTATCTGGCCTTTTACAGAAAAAGTCTGCTGACCCCTGTGGAATACTACCACAAAGAGGGTGCTTTCCGATGTTACAGAACACAAAAGAGTTGTCCCCAATATTTGGTGTAGGAATGCAGGCCAGGACTTTATGGAGAAGGCACATCCCAGCATGGTTGTAGCCTCCAACCACTCACTCACTCCCTGCCCACCTCAGATTCCTCCATCTTCTTGAGCACATAAAAGACAATGATCCAAATTCAGAATACAGGAAATTTGGATGTCCACATATGTGAAGGATAGAGATTATCTGTGAAAGGATGGAGATTATCACCTCAATCTAAGCAAAGCTTCAATTTCAGAATACCATCAACAGGATGAAAATGATGCCTTGGAATAAACCAAAATTGTTGACATCAAACAGTTCTGGAAAGGATACCAATAAGAACACTTCACAGAGCAGAATAAACATGGGCCTGCTTTTCACCTCAGTTTTTGTGATTCCTATGCTTAGCACTATAGAGCAAACAAGGTTTCACAAATCCAGTAGCTATTTTATCATAAAATGGATGGTTTATTTTGCTCAAAATTTTGGCTCTTTCTTGTAAAATGACAAAACTAGGCTTCTAGCTTTAAGCAGTGCTATCATCAGGACCTTCATCACGATTCCCAAGGTGCTGTGGGACAGAGGAGACAGTATGTGCTCAGGAGGTACCATCCTCACTTCTGAACAAAAGAGATAGCACAGAGGAGGTCTGGCAATATGACCTTCAGCAAGAGCACTGAATTAAAGGCCAAACAAGCCTGTGTAATGGAGTCTGATTTTTCCCAATCCTGCTCCTCCTGCCCCAGTGTTCTTGATTTGTTCTCTGTACCATCAGCACCCCACTCAAGTCTTAAGTACAAAACTCAAAGTTATCAGTGAGTCACCCAGTCTCCCTTCTCTTTCATATCTAATCATCTCCTAATTTTCTCTAATCAATTTCCTGCTCTTCATGCTCTGGTATTATTTCTTGCCTAGACCCTTGCAGAGGGCTCCTAACTAGTCTTTCTGCTTGCAGTATCTCCCCATTATGGAGAGTCACATTTGCTACTAGGAGAACATTTCTGGTTAACAGTTGCCATTTATTGACAATACTCCTTAGCCTGGACTCACTGTGCCCCATGCTTTGTTTGTAAAAGTGAAATGTTTACTATTTCCCCTACATGCTCTCATTACCTGGCTCTGTGCCTAGGTTTCTTCTAATCATTTCGCCTATCCTGTTACCACTCTTACCTTTCATGTTTCTCATCCTTCAAAGCCTTAAATGCTACTTGCTCCACGAAGCCTCCTCATTCTCCCTCCCACTGGCAATCCTTACCGCAATCTATCCAGACCTCTCTTATAGAGGCACGCCTCATTTTCTCACTTGGATTATAATTACATATGTATCTGTCATCCCTTTCCTGGAATAGCACTGAGACAGAATCTGCATCCAATTAATTCTTCTAACCCTATGGGACCTTTCAATAAGCTGAATGAAATTAACATATATTTCTATATCATGAACCCAGTGAACATAACCATCCTCTTGTCAGCATCAAACTGTTATCTCTTCTTCCTTGTTCTAAATCTGCTGCTGGAATATTTTCCAAAATCTGTACTAAGCCATCCTGGATACTCTTTGCAGACAGACTGCCAGGCTATATGCAAATGGCTCTCTCAAACCAACAACTCTGACCTCAACTCCCTCTTGAGTTTCAGACCCACAAATTTCTAACCACCAATCTAAGATCTGGTTTGCTGAGCACTGTTAACTCAAGCCAGCCTTCCAAAAAGTCTCATTATAACATGACAAAGTCTCTGGTTTGGCTACACAGTCACATTCGCTCCTAAATTCTTTCTGCCTTTGTAGTTAACATTAGGTCAGTTAAGGCACAATCTGAAGTTTTCCTTAGAGAATGTTTGGCATCCTTGATTTCAGGTCGCTTTATTAATACAGGTAACTCTGGTCTTCTCTTTATGTATCATGTAGTCTAAGAGCCTTTGCTCTCTACTCGTTAGTTTCCTCACCGACAACACCCTGTGACAATTTCTCTACCCGGCAAAGCTGTCATGAGGATTAGAAATAGCATGTAACTCAGGACCCAGCTTACAATGCCTCAGTGTTAATTATCATTGTCACCATCAGCCAAGACATGTGCATGTTCCTCTGGCATGATGCTTCTGAACTGGATGATAAGAATACCCAAGACCTTTGCTGCCCTTTCACTGAATGTCCTTTTCCTGAGCTCCCTCTAGTCTTATTCCTCCACATACCACAAGGTCACACTGCAGATGGAGCACTGTGACCCACTGCAAAGCCTCCCTAAGATAAAGAGGCCAACGTTAGCCTACCATCTACAGAGCAAGGTATTGCTAAGTGCTTTACATTAAGTCATTTCATCTAATCCTTACAACTCTGTAAGTTAGTTATTTCCACTTTATAGATGGGAAACAGAGGCTTAGGAAAGTTAAGAAACTTGTCCTAAACTAGAAAGTTGGAAAGTAGCCGAACTAGGGCAGCTACAAGCCTGCGTTCTTATTAGCTAGAGTATCCTGCCTTACCCGAGACTAGAGGTCGAAACTTCCTGTGCTTTACCTATACCTGTATAAATCAAGTCAATATTTTTTATGCCAACAGATTTTTTTTTAATGAGTTAATGCCAATCAGTTCATTTGTAGAGGTAGATAAAAAGTTCTGCTTGAGTAACTACTTTGTTGCTTACTATATTAAATTAAGATTTCTCATTAGATCCTGGAAATTAAGCCAAAATCCTTCACCTCTTCAAAATCGCCTTTCATGACCTGTCTACTCTGACCAATCTTCCTCTGACATGTCTTAGTAAATCCTTGTCTGACAGACCCTGCTTTAACTTACAGCTTTTCAAAAACATATCAAGTTCACTATACTTATTCCCATCTTTCTCATTAGCTGACACAGAAACAACCTCTAACTTCTAAAAATTTTTTCACAATAAATGCCTTTTATTACTGTAAAAAAAATGCTTTAAAAAACTTTTCAGAAAACAAAAATAAGGCAAATGATTAAATATTCAAAGAGAAAGAAGTGCTTCAAAATTCAGTATTAAATACAAATACATTTATTATCAAGAGTATTTTTGGAAAATTTTTCATCTCTGGTTCTCTCAGGCTTTAACATAAGTAAAATAATTTAAAAATTCTTTTTAAAATAAAAAAGTAAAAAAAAAAATTGCTCAGCCCATCAAAAATAAATAAATAAAAGTAAGCAAATCAATTTTACCAAGCATGTGCTGCAGTTGCCTCTGTTAATCTCTAGTCTGAATTATCCACATCTCTAGTAACCTGTATACTTAATTTAGACTCTGTCAAAGGATAAACAAAATCAATCAACAAATTGGGCAATTAATGGTAAATAACAGTGACTTACCTACTGCGGTGAGTTGATGTCTTTCTAGTGTTAAATTCTTTGGGTCCTTAATAAAATGAAAGGGTTGTATTTTTATTCCTTCAATTTGAGGGAATAATAGAGCAAAACCAGACTCTCCAATTTCTATTTCCTGAGGTCGATTGTTACCTGATCCCATTGGAGTCACTAGGAAAAAAGTGAAACAGTTTCATGAGTAGATTTAATAAAAACTGAAGTTTCATTTGGTAACACTTCATTTGATATGTATCTAGCCCCACCTTAGGTAACTGCAGTTTGCGTAACCAAGATAATCAAGTTAAAAGCTGAGTAAAAGTTTCTCAGCTTTGAAATTTTAGGGGTAGTGTCACGATGTCTGCAATCTACTTTTAAATGGTTCAGAAAGAAATGTTTTTACAAACAGAAAAAAAAACTGTTGCAAAATTTTTTAAAACTGGTGAATCTCGAAAAGGAATATGGATGTTTACTATTCTATCATTCTTCAACTTTGAAGATTTGAAGTTTTTCTACATAGAAGCTGGCGGTAAAAAAATACATCACAGCAATTCTACTTTTAGAAAATTATCCTACAAGCTGAGGGTTGCTGGAGTGGTGGGGGGTGGGAGGGATGGGGTGGCTGGGTGACAGACATTGGGGAAGGTATGTGCTATGGTGAGTGCTGTGAATTGTGCAAGACTGTTGAATCACAGACCTGTAACTCTGAAACATATAATACATTATATGTTAAAAAAAAAAAAGAAGAAGAAGATAGTAGGAAGGGAAAAAAAAAGGGGGGGGAATCAGAGGGGGAGATGAACCATGAGAGACTATGGACCCCGAGAAACAAACTGAGGATTCTAGAGGGGAGGGGGGTGGGGGATGGGTTAGCCGGGTGATGGATATTAAAGAGGGCATATGTTGTAATGAGCGCTGGGTGTTACATGCAAACAATGAATCATGGAACACTACATCAAAAACTAATGATGTAATGTATGGTGATTAATATAACATAATAAAATAAAATCTAAAAAAAATTATCCTAAAAATACTGACAATTGTATGAAGTATGTGTGTGTGTGTGTGTGTGTGTGTGTGTGTGTGCACATACAAATATATATGCACAAAGTACTTTTATCACCAAATTAAAAAAAAAGAAATGGACGGGCTGATTCTAAAATATATGTGGAAGTGAAAAGAACCTAGATAGCCAAAACTATTTTTAAAAAGAGCATCGAAACCTACACTAATCAATCTTTAAAAAGAATATCAGGACCTACAGTAATATGGCATTGGCTTAAGGATAAACAAATATACCAATGGAACAGAATTAAATCCAGAAACAGACCTACAAACATGCAATTATTTTTAACAAAGGTGCCAAGGCGATTAGAGGAAAGAAAAATCTTCAACAAAGAGTGATGAAATAATTGGATAACATACAAAAAAACAAACAAAAAACCTTCAACCTCTACCTTATGCCATACACAATAATTAATTCAAGTTAGGTCACAGAACTAAATATAAGAGCTAAAACCACATAAGAGAGTATCTTTGTGACTTTGAGATAGGCAAAGATTTCTTGGAGAGGACATAAAAAACATTCACCAGAAAAGAAAAAACATAAATAGAATGGATTTCACCAAAATAAAAATTCACTGGTCATCAAAGACACTGTTGAGAGAAAGAAAACGAGCAACAGACTGGGAGAAAATATTTACAACACCTATTGTAAAGGTCTTGAATTAGAATATATAAACAACTTCAACTCAAACATAAAAACAGGTCTTGAATTGTAAAGGTCTTGAATTAGAATATATAAACAACTTCAACTCAAACATAAAAACAATCCAATAAAAAAAAAAATCACTAAAAGACTTGGATACTTCACAAAAAGATATACAAGTAGCCAAAACATCTGAAAAGATACTCAACATAACTACAATCATTGGAGTAATTCAAATTAAAACCACCACAAGAAGCCTCCTCATACCCACTACAATGGTTAAAATGAAAAGACTCATTTGAAGACACTAAGTGTTAGTGAGGATATGTAGCAGTGAGCAACTGAAACCCTCATTCATTGCTGGTGAGTATAAAATGGAACAACTCTGGAAACAGTTTGGCAGTTTCTTATAAAGTTAAACATAAACCAACCCCAAGACCCATCTCTTCCAAGAACAAACCCAGGTCCACAAGAAGACTTACATAAAAATGTTCACAACATGGGGCGCCTGGGTAGCTCAGTCTGTTAAAAACAATCGACTCTTGATTCAGCTCAGGGTCCTGGGATCTAGCCCCGTGGGCTCCCAGCTCAGCGGGGAGTCTGCTTGTCTCTGTCCCTCCCCCTGGCTCATGCTTGCACTCTCTCTCTCTCAAATAAATAAATAAAATCTTAAAAAAAAAAAAGTTCACAACAGCATCATTCATAATAGCCAGGAATGTGAATCAATCCAAAGCTCCATCAAAGAGAGAGTGGAAAAATAGTCTATTTATATAACAGAATAATACCGAATAATTTTTAAACGAATTACTGATACACATGGTAACATAATTTCAAAAATATGTTGTTAAAAATATTTATATGGAGTAAAAACTTAGCCAAGACATAAAAAGAGTATATACTGTATGGTTCCATTTATATGCCACTCAACAACAGGCAAACTAATCTATGGCTGCAGAAATTGGAACTGGGGTTTCCTCTGCAGGCAGAGATCAACAGGAAAAGGACATGAAGGAACTTCCTGAGGTGATGGAAATATTCTCTATCTTGACTGGCGTGTAGGTTACATAAGGGTATACATTTGTCAAAACTCATTAAATTGTACACTTAAGATTGTGCAAGTCGCTGGAAGTAAAGTTCACCTTAAAAGAAAGATAATGATCTCTGCACATATAAGAATGAACAAGTTTTCTCAAACCTTAAGTTTTTTTTTTTTAAAGATTTTATTTATTTATTTGAGAGAGAATGAGAGATAGCACGAGAGGGAAGAGGGTCAGAGGGAGAAGCAGACTCCCTGCTGAGCAGGGAGCCTGATGCGGGACTCGATCCCGGGACTCCAGGATCATGACCTGAGCCGAAGGCAGTCACTTAACCAACTGAGCCACCCAGGCGCCAAAACCTTAAGTTTTTTGAACTTAAAGAATGAAGATGGGCCAGTAGCCAATGGCTGTTTTAGAAACAATCACTACACTGTGGCCTAAGAAAAAGGAATCCAACCAACCGTCTTGGTGGAAGTTTTGTTGGGACATGTGTGGAACTGGCTCAAAGAGAACACTTAGCTGCAGGGCAACCAAAACCAGTAAGCGTGTCCAAGAAAACCAAGAGGGAATGGGAATGGCACCTACTCCTGACACCAAGATCATAAGGGAACTCGGAACAGACAAAATTAAAATTTCTTCAGAGTAAGGCAAGCACAAAAGGAAGGCTTAAGGTAGACCTCCCATCCTCACAATGGGGTCCTCCCCAAGTCCACCCTCCCTCCCCTGCCTCCAACCCCCAGCTGAAATTTTAGAAAGAAGAAATGTGATTAGGCTTTGAAAAAACCAAAGAGGGTGAGGTGGGGAGGCCTAAGAAAATGATGAAGCTACTATTCTATATAAGCATTTGCTAACAACCAGTAATGGCAGAACCTAGATCACTCATTTAAGGAAAATTCAAAAGTTAAAAGAAAATCATGGTTGCTGTTACCATTTTCTTTTAATCCAATGAGAAATGAAATGTGTAGTGATAGGCAGATGTAATAGTATGGGGTGGGGAGCTGATAATGGGAGAGATGAAACAGTCCCTATCAACCATGTATTTAACTTTATTCATTTGTAAACACTTGAAATCCTGTGTACTTCACCGTATAAGACTTTTAAATTCAGATCAAAAGTCTCTCAGTGAAGATTAAAAATGCCAATTATGGAGTACTACTGAGTGGAACAAAGAAAATCCTAATAGCGAACATTTACTCTGATTCCTGCACATCTCTACTCTGACTACTTTTCAAGTGTTATCTCATTTCATCTTCATAACCTTCCCAAGAGGGATTATCAATCATCTCTATTTCATATATGGAGAAACTAAAGCCCTCTGAAGTTAGGTAACTTGCCCAAAGTCATACAGAGAGATACTAAGTACAGCTGGGATTCTAATACCAGCATCTGAACCCACTGCACCATGACTGCCTCAATAGAGTATCTCTCCCCCATGAACTATAGAAAAGAACCAACAATAATAAAAACCAGTAAAAATCACCAGCAGCAAACTTGGGAAGGAGTTTAATTTCACACTATAAACTTCATTCATTCATTCATTCATTTATTTTTAAGAGAGACAGACAGAGGCAGGCAGAGGGAGAAGCAGGCTCCTTCAAGGAGCCCGATGTGGGACTCGATCCCAGGACCCAGGGATCATGACCTGAGCAGACGCTTAACCGACTGAGCCACCCAGGCGTCCCCACACTATGAACTTCAAACCATGGTCTCCAAGCAGAGAAACAGAAGTTTCCTAAGAAGGTCTACTGTAGCTCCTAATCCCAGCCCTAACTCACCCCTGCCCACCTGGTTGAACTGACTAAAGTGAGAATGCTCACTTAATGCTTTCTAATTTGGAGAGAGGGAGAATGTGAGCTTTCCCCCTCTTATGAATGGCTCCCCTGGAAAGACATGCATCACATTTGGTTTATATAGACAGCCCTGAGACTGGGAATACTAACCACAATAACCTAAAGAACACTAACAGAAGTCAAATATAATACCATGGTAAATACGACTAACTTTATGGCATTTTGGATGGCCAAAAATATAAATGTGCTTTTAAGCTACAAGTAATTCACCAATCTATGGGACCCCACATTAATGCAAGGCAGGAAATCATCAAATTGGTATTTCTCTCACCTACAATTCCTGGGGTCACAATCCCAAGGACCTGGCATTGTTTTGGGAATAGCTTCTCAAGGGCAAAAGCTGCTTCCATAGTAGTTCTTTTCCTTGCTGTAACAATACAGTAGCAAAATTATTACATGTTATTCATTTTAGGTCAAATCTGATTGTATGGGGGGAAAAAAGCAAACACTGAATAAAGTTTAAGTCATTTACACCAGAATGCTTAAGAAAGTCAATGGGGCCCCTGCGTGCCTCAGTCAGTTAACATCTGACTCCTGATATCAGTTTAGGTCTGGATCTCAGGGTTGTGAGTTCAAGCCCCGTGTGGAGCTTACTTAAAAAAAAAAAAGGCTTAAAAACTTTGATGAAAACATTTTCCCATTTGGAGCCTGTTTTATATTTTAAATTCTAAATCTGATCCTTAGCATCACCAATTTGCCCTTCTTGCTTGGTTCACATACTGTTTTTGCCCCGATGATGTTAAATTTAGCAGCAGCAGCAAAATTTTAACTTGCTGTTATTATCTCTCTGTTTACCTGATAGTAGAGCATGACTTTTTCATTGCATAAACAACAGTCACCTGGATTCAAATTAGACAGTGATAACCCAGGTCTAGCTCTGGGCCTCAGTGTGCTCAGCTTGGGACACCTGGTCTACTTCTTCTCTTAGCAGAGTCAAAAACAAGGCACAGTATAACTTCAGCATCCCTAAATGGGTCCCCATCACACAATAGAAGGCTTCAATAGCCAAAGAAATGCCTGGTGTATTAAAGTAGTTCAAAATGAGAAAGATATCTTTCTAAAGAATTTGTTTTAACTGTACTACTGCAAGGTTTAGAAATCAATCTTTGAAGCAGAAAGGGCCCCTCAAGTTTCAAAGACAATATATTCATGCATGCTATAATAGGGAGAAGGCCCAGAGCCTCAGAAAGTCAGTAACTCTCAAGACTAGGACAATATTTAACTCCAGAGGAACATAAAAATAAGGAACATAAGGAACAAAAAACCCACAAACCTTTTCTTTTGATATTTACCTCTCTTGTGGCCACGACACTCTTCCAGACTAATGAAAGTTTCAGAGTCAGCCATGTAAAGAACTGTCTGTGGTAAGATGTGAACATTCTGCTAAGAAAAACAAAAACGGAATTAGATCACATGAATCCATGAATGCTCTCATGGTCCCTTAAAGTTCTGCCCTGGTCCAAACTGTTGTCGGCATACCCTCCCTTTAGGTCAATGTTAGCTTTCTGAGTCCAACCACTTCCCATTCATTTTTCACGAATGCTCTTACCTTTTCAGGTCATTCATTTGAGCATCTATTATTTCTTCTTCAAGTCAAACTCATTCCAGCCTGATTCAAGAGGTTCATTTTCATAATTTAAACTCTTAAACAAAAACATTAAATGCCAGCAAAAGGTGCTACTTGCTTTATTTGAATAGGCATCACAATCACAGAAAAACCTCAGCAACAAAGGGAAGGCATACAAACTGTATCACTCCTCTTTTCATTGCCTACCAAATGAAAGAGTCCAGGCCTTCATCTCCACCTTACCAACTAGCTCCCTCCAGGAACCTTTTTGCTTACTTTAATCCAGACACACACGCTGCTGTACAGATTCTCCTACAGCTCTCTTCATTTCGTACTTAAGACTGTTTCCCTCAAGAGACCACTTAAAGTGCCACCTCCCCTCCAAAACCTTTTCTTAGATACCTGCAGTACCCTGGACCTCACATGTGACACACCTTACATACCAGTCATTTGTACTTGTACCTTACCTACACTCATGAGCTGGGCTTATTCAGACTCCTGTTTTCCACTAAATGTCACATTACAGACAAGTGGCAACATGGCTGAATGAAACACAAGGATGAACATATTTTTTTCCTAAGCTGGTTATTTTCAAATATTTTTACTGTCAGAATGGAATGAAGTACTCACATATAACAAAGCCTCAACGGGGATTAAATGGGGAAAAAAAGAGTTAATCCACTGTAATTTGGGGGAATGTCAAGATGTTTCAGAGTAGATTCCATATAGGCAAACTCAAAAAAGATACTGAGACAGAATGATGACCCTGTGGTGACTCCAGCGCTGACAACTTACGGATATAGTTCTCATGGCCCACACAGCATTTCGAAGGTTACCAATTATTTAAAATTCCACAAAATATTTACAGAGAATGTGGACTTCCAGATTCTTTCGAAAAACTAGACATTCTAACACTTCAACTGCATTCCTCTTGATGAGGGTTAAATGCAGGCAAGTACTCCCTGGTATGCCATGGCTTTATTGCTCCCTATGTTACCCTAAACCAACTTAGTTATCTGCCTAACTTTGGAGTCATTTGAGTTTGTGATATCTGGTATAGGGAGTAATGAGATAGAAAGCCTAGTTCTGAGGTTTTATGATTCTCTCTTTCCTAGTACCCAGTGAAAAGCAATTGCTGAGTGTTCCTCCCTAATTCTCATCAGAAGCAGTGACGATGACAGTCCTCAGAAGGAAATGTTGTTTTTTTTTTAAAGATTTTATTTGTTTGACAGAGAGAGACATAGCAAGAGAGGGAACACAAGCAGGGTGAGTAGGAGAGGAAGAAACAGGCTTCCCGCAGAGCAGGGAGCCCGATGTGGGGCTCGATCCCAGGACCCTGGGATCATGACCTGAGCCAAAGGCAGATGCCTAACAACTGAGCCACCCAGGCGCCCTAATAGGAAATGTTCTTAAAGCACCATGTGAGACAACTAAAATCTCATTCCATCATTCAAAGAAGTTCCAAATTTCATAAAATTTTTAGTGGACTTTAAAATCTAATAAAAAAGTTTAAACCAACTTTCTTTATAGCTATAATAGTATGTCCACTAGGTAATTTGGCAAACACAAAAAAACCCAGCATGATTTGTACAAGGTTTCCATGTTTTTGTCTAACCACATTAGCGTTTACTAGAATAAATTTCTTTAAGGGCGTTACTATCTGAACTTCAATAATGACACTGATAATAGAAAATAATTTCATTTATTGAAAACATCATTATCCCTGGTACTGCAGGTAATATATTATATGCATTACCTTTCCATGTTTTAAACCTTAGAACAACTATTTAAGGGTATGAGGAAATTCTTATTGTCTTTTCATTTTATGGAGATAGAACCTGAAGCTCAGAGAGATTAGGTAACTTTTTCAGAGACTGGCAGCTAATATGCACCAAAAATGAGTTCCTATCTAAATCTGTGTGGCTATAACAGCCATTATATTGTATAAACTTTTAAAGCTATATAAAAATAATACCAGCCGTGGTAAAAATTTGAAGGAAAAAAAAAACACAGAAAATAATTTAAAACATTAAAAAAAAAAAATCATGCAATTCTACCCTGAAAGGAAACTTTTGCTAACATTTTAGTTTATTTCTTTTCTATTCTTCCTTTTTTGTTTTCAGTAACTCAGATTATACTAAATATAATTTCATAATCTGTCTTCTTCACTTATGACATGAACATTTTTTTCTTGTCACTAATGTATCTTGCAGTTCATCATTAAGTGACTTTATTTCTAAACATTAGGTTATTTTCAATTTCCCTTATAATAAATGATGCTGCAAAGAACATCTTTATGGAAGTCTGTCTGCATTTTGAATTTCTCCAAATGACAACTTCTAGAACTAGACTGGGAAGGAGTTGAGCCACAATGCAAAGAAGAAAGTTTTCCGCAAGCCTGCCTTTGGATACTGGCCACTTTGGGTCTGAGTCCTAGAGCCCAAACAGAGTAAGGAGAAAATCCACATAAGGGAGAAACACAAGATTGGTCAGTTATGGGGCGCCTGGGTGGCTCAGTTGGTTAAGCGACTGCCTTCGGCTCAGGTCATGATCCTGGAGTCCCGGGATCGAGTCCCACATCGGACTCCCTGCTCGGCGGGGAGTCTGCTTCTCCCTCTGACCTTCTTCCCTCTCATGCTCTCTATCTCTCATTCTCTCTCTCTCTCAAATAAATAAATAAAATCTTTAAAAAAAAAAAAAAGATTGGTCAGTTATGGGGCATTTGTCTAATATCTACATATTAAGAATGATGAGAGTCAGGTTCCTCACTATCCAAAAGGTAGGTACAAATATGACCTAAAAGAAAAGAAAACTGGAAAGAATCCTGTGTTGGACTGGAATTGGATATACTTGTGCAAACTCATGACTTTCCATATATACAAAAATATAGTTGTAAAGATGTGTATGTATGGATGTGTATGTGTGTGTGTGTGTGTGTGTGTATGCATATGTACACACACACACGAATACACATATATTCCTTGGCTCTGTTCCACTGGGCTCTGGAGCAGCAAACCCTTCAACAGCAATGAGCTGTCCAGATCTTGGCTTTTAAATACCATGAAATACCATTCTCCACTAAAAGGAACCAGAGCTCTTTAAAGAAATGGCTGATTCCAGGATTAAAGCAGACAAAAGATGAGCTTAGAACATCTTGTGCCAGAAAGCAAGGAGGTACTCAAAGGTGATGGACTCATCTCTAAAAGACCCTGGAACCAGCTGAAGGGGATCCTGACTGCCAAACTGGGGACAATTCGGATATCAAAATAAATACTGAGAGATTATATTCCATTGAATAAAATAAGAGACTAAAAGAGTCTGAACAGAAATAAGTGAAAAAAATTGAAACAGGATATTTACATAGTTTCAAAGTATCTCCTCACAAAATACTAATTACAGTGGAAAAGAGTAATTTTACAGGAGTGACATCTGGCACACACCACCTTAATCAAATTATCAAAGGTACTAACACCAGTAATGGGACAGAAATGGAAAGCACATACTACCTGACAGGATGAAACTAGAAGAGCACAGCATCACTTCTGTGATATTCCTGCCAAAAATACATAATCTGAATCTAAGAAACATGTTCTACAAAATAACTGACCCGTAATTTACATACTTTTCAGAGTTGTGAAAGCCAAGCAAAGCTTGAGAAACTGTTCCATGTCAAAAATTAAAGAAATGACAGGGGTGCCTGGGTGGCTCAGTCGGTTAAGCCTTGAACTCTTGATTTCGCCTCAGGTCATGATCTTAGGGTGGTGAGATGGAGCCCAGTGTCCAGCTCTGCACTCAGCACAGAGTCCGCTTGTTCCTCTCCCCTGGCTTGCTCTCTCTCTAATAAATAAATAAAATCTTTAAAAAAAATTTAAAAAATGACCAAAACTAACCTAAGATTCTAATCTGAATTATTTTGTTATGAGGAACATTACTGGGACAACTGGCAACGTCTGAAAGGATTCTGAGGAATGAATGATAGAAACGTATCAATAAGAATTTCCTGACTGATGATTGCATTGTGATGATGTAGAATAGTCTTGTTTGTGTGTAATGAGCACTAAAGTATAAGGAAGCGAAAGAACATCAGATTGATAATTTACTCTCAAAGAGCTCTGTCCCACTGGCAAATGAGATACCACAGCCTCACAGTCACCTGTACTCAAGAAGGCTGCCCCTTTGATTCCACAGTTCAAGTCAGTACCTCCCCAGGTTTTGCCCATCTTTTGAAATTGGGGGACCAGAGATACAATACAAAAGAGTACAGGACCAGCGGCTGAAATATTTGGGCTTAAGTACTGGTTCTTGACTTTTTAATGTGACGCTAAAGAAAAAGAAACCCAGCTGCCTTCCCTGCCGAACAGTGACAACAATATCTGCTTCAAAGGAAGCAAGTAAAGAGGAGGTCCTCCACAACGTTATTATAATAGTAAAAATCTGTATACACAAAATGCGCAACATCTTGAGAACGGTCAAATAAATCATGGCACATCCTTACGTGTGTTTATAAAATCTTTTCGTGTCACGAGAAAATGTTCCATAATTTAGAAAGAATAGGATCACACACAAAATAAACATTAAAGGGGCGCCTGGGTGGCTCAGATGGTTAAGCGTCTGCCTTCGGCTCAGGTCATGATCCCAGGGTCCTGGGATCAAGTCCCGCATCGGGCTCCCTGCTCAGTGGGGAGCCTGCTTCTCTCTCTCTCTCTCTCTCTCTCTCTGTCTCTCATGAATAAATAAATAAAATCTTTAAAAAAAAATAAAAATAAACATTAAAAAGAAGACTGAGTTCGCAAAGGCTGACCCAACAACCCCACAAAGAACTGTGCACGACACGCCTTCTTACTTGCCTCAAGCTCCTCTGCTACCACGCGGACCAGGCAATGCTCCTCCAGGTGGCCAGCATCCGCCAATCCCGCGGAGATCCAAGTCACACTCCGATGCGTCCGCAACACTCGACGAACACACTCCCTCCATAAGCGGCACACGCTGGGGGCGCAAACCACAAAGGGTTGTGAAAGGACGTTCATTTCCCTCTCCAGCAGGAGATTCCTGCGGTATCAAAAGTCCCAGAGCGGGAGGTGTCGGGGCGCAGATTTGGAGGGAGAACCGGAGGGCGGAGAAAACCTTAGGGCGCACCTCGTCCCTCCGGGAAGAGTCCCCGAGACAGGCACAGGGGTACGGTAGGCGTACCTCGAGGATGGGGGCATCACCTCGGGGGAGGAGAAGGGAGCCGGGGGCAGCCGTGGGTCCCGATGGTGTCTGCCCGCCCCGCCAGCCAGGGCAAGCCCGAGGCATGTCCCGAAGTAAGCTTCCCGCCTCCTCTCTCCTCACCCTGCTACCCGCAGCAACGCCTTGGCGGGCAGGAAGGTGAGGACACGCTCCACCACCTCCGCTAGGTTACCCAACACAAAGGTGCTCTGTGGGTCCGCGGAGGAGCCTCGGCGATCACCACCACCATGATCACCACAGCCACCCACCACCTCCATTGCTCACCAACCCGCCGAGCAAGCACTACGGCTACTCGGAAGGCACTGGTGAGGCCGGCACAAGACCTCCCAGCCAGCGCGCACTGAGCAAGCGCGCGCGCGCCACTTCCGGCCGGTTGGGGGCGACTGGGCGGCTGAGACCCACCCACGTGACTCTCCAGGCCCAGCGGTTTCCTGCGTCTGTCTTGCGGAGGGCCGGCTGGCGCTGGGAGAGGTGGGCTTGCGTCCGTTGATCCTTCCGGTAATTTCTAGGCCTCTCTAGGCCTCCTGGGGGGCATAGGTCTTCCTGTGCCTCTCGCTGTACTTGCAGCGCTGTATTCCTTTATGTATGTATGTATGTATGTATGTATGTATGTATGTATGTATGTATGTATTAATTAGACAGAGACACAGCGAGAGAGGGAACACAAGCAGGGGGTGTGGGAGAGGGAGAAGCGGGCCTCCCGCAGAGCAGGGAGCCCGATAGAGGGCCTCGATCCCAGAGTCCTGGGATCATGACGTGAGCCGAAGGCAGATGCCTAACGACTGAGCCATACAGGCGTCCCAGCAGCGCTGTATTCCTTGTCGGTAGAGCTCTTTCTCCGATTCTTGAATTCTAGGAGGAGACCCAGTAGTATTTGTCCGTCTTTACAGTACAAATGTGTGTTAATAACGTGAGTCTGATTTTTGGAAGAGTTAAAAATAGCTGGCTAAGTGTGTGAGGATGACTACCTATATTCGACACCTAGTGAATGTGGTTAACTCAAGGTAGCCCTCACGCCCTATGTGAAACAACATAAATAGCACCTACAGCTGCTGTGAAAACTTTGCACCAAACTGCACTAGTTCTTCATAGTAGCATCAGATTCACCGGTAATCATGAAGTTTCGGCTTTAAAAATTTTTTTCTAAAGAATTTACTTATTTGAGAGAGCGCGGGCAGGGCACAAGCAGGGGGAGGAGCAGAGGGAGAAGCCGACTCCCCCGCTGAGTAGGCAGCTGCCCTGGACTCCAGCTGGATCCCAGGACCCTGAGATCATGACCAAAACTGAAGGCAGCCACTTAAATGACTGAGCCACCCAGGCGCTCTTGGCTTAGTTTTTTATTGAAGTGTAATTGTTGTATTAGTTTCAGGTTTATGATATGATTCAACAATTCTGTACATTACTGATGGGTCACCAAGATAAGTGTACTCTTTAATCCTCATCACCTATTTCACGTATCCCCTCCCCCACCTCCCCCTGGCAACCACTAGTTCTCTGTATTTGAGCCTTTTTAAAATTTGTTCCTTTTGCTTAAATTCCCACACCAGTAAAATCACATGGTCTTTGTCTTTCACTTAGCATTATGTCCGCTGGGTCCATCCATATTGTTGCAAATGGCAAGATCTTTTTTTCTGGCTGAATAATATTCAGTTGTATATAAATACCACTTCTTTATCCATTCCTCTATCAATGACACTTGGGTTGCTTCCCTATCTTGGCTATTGTGAATAAAGACTGTGGTAAACAGGGGTGCGTAGCTTTTCAAATTAGTGTTTTCATTTTCTTTGTGTAAATACCCAGTAGTGGAATTATTAGATCATATGGCAATTCTATTTTTACTTTTTGAGGCACTTCCAAAGTGTTTTCCACAGTGGTTGCACCAGTTTGCACTCCCATCACCAGAGCACAGTTGTTCCTTTTTCTCTACATCCTCACCAACGCACTTGTCATTTCTTGTGTTTTTATTTAGAGCCATTCTGACAGGAACAAGGTGGTATGTCACTCTAGTTTTACTTTGCATTTCCCTGATGATTAATGATATTAAGCATCTTTTCATGTATCTGTTGGGTTTGGGCACATTCTTGGTCCTTAACTCCAGGCCTACTGAATCCGATTCTGGGGGCAGGGCCCAACAGTCTGAGTTTTAATTTTTCTGTGATTTATGCTTTCCTGTTATTCTGATGCAAGTTCAGGTTGAGAACCACAGATAGAAGGAATGTAAGCACAGCAGACACTGCTGTATCTCTACTTAACATCCATTTCTCCTGCTGCTTCCTTAGTAAGAAAGCCCACATTTGATCCCCATCTCTCTCTTTTTTAGACTTTATTTGACAGAAAGAGAGAACACAAGCAGGGGAAGCAGCAGGCAGAGGGAGAGGTTAAAGCAGGCTCCCTGCTGAGGAAGGAGCCCGATGTGGGGCTCGATCCCAGGATGCTGGGATCGACAACCCCAAAGAGCTTGTTTATGTGGGTTATGTCTATTAATATTTGCCATATTAAAAATTAAAACATTTTAATATTAATTCACATAAAATAGTAAAACCAGATTAACAAAGATTGACAAAATAAAATTTGTGAAAAAATAGCTATGCCCCCCTCATCCAATAGTGAACAGTTGTGGCATCACTTTACATTTTGTAAACTTCTAATTTCTGGCTTAAAAGAAGACAGCTGGATATGCTTCTGAATTCCATCTGTTTTACCATCACATTGTGTGGCCTCTGGAAAAGTCCACTGTACACTTGTAAGAAAATGAGAGTGAAAATGGCAAATGTTTTAGGAAAATAATTTTGACCTTCTAAAAACCTCCTGGAAGGGTCCGAGGGGTCTCCAGAGTTCCCCAAACATACACTGAGAACCGCTGGTCCAAACTAATCATAGATTTCATTCTTTTTATCAGCCATGTAAGGGGTGGACACAAGCCCCAGTTCTAGCCAAGGAAAAGTGAAGAGCAATATGCTTGGGTGGGCAGGGGAGGCTTCTAAAAAACAAGACCATTATCTACCTCTGGACAGAGTAACATGGCTACACATCCAGACATAACATTAAATCCAAAGATGAAGCCAACATGGAAAAATCTCAAAGCAGCATAGCAGAGCCAAGGTGTACCATGCCGGGAGTTTTCAGACTTCAGGACTTCTTGTATGTGAGATAACTTGATAATTGTGTGTAAGGAGGCCATGGGAATACTAAAGAAGGAGCAGACTATTGTAACTGGGGGAACTAGGGACAGCTATGGAGAAAGCAGCACTTGGATTTATATTAAGGAATGAGAGTGGGAGAAGGAAAAGGTTGAGGAAAACCCGAGTATACCAAGTCTGTGCACACCATTTCTGGGTTTTCTAGCTTCCTCTTGTTAAATCAATCTGCCTCAACCCTCTCCTCACCTCATCCCCCCATATATAAATCCTATTTCAAAAAAATTCACTCTTGGCTTCAGGTGTTTGTAAACTCTATTATCTCTTATGAGGGAAAAGTAACAAATTATTTTTTAAATGGTTCTTTATTCATAAACTTGATGCAAGTTTACAAAATTTACTGTACATTGCCAAATAAATCTGCAATGAAAAATAAAACCCCCCCAAAAACAAAGCATGCCAAATGTGCAGCTGTCAATCTGCTAGCCATCAGGATATTAAAGAATTCAATAATGTATTCAAGATTTAGCCTTAGGTTTAAGGAACTTTAATGCTTTAAAGTTTAATGCCTGGTCACTTATTATCTCAGCAACTGGCAATCAGAACTTTATACAAATGTAACCAAGTAAACAAAAATGCCAGAAAATCTTTTTCTACTGTCCTCTTAACCAAAATAGAACAAAAAGAAATTAAACACACACAATAATGCAGAAGTGCCAAGTTCCTCTGATGTGGTTTACAAAGTTAAGAGCAAATGCATAGGAAACACTTTTGAATTTTGTAACTTGTTTGTGCAGAAAATGTGCTTCTGGATTTCATTTTAAAAGTGCTTAATAACTGTAATTTACTTTTTTTTTTAACTGTAATTTACTTTTAAATCAAACTTGGGTAGATAAAAAAAAAACCTATCACCAACCAAACAGGACTGATTCAGGTAAGGCAATAAAATGGAGGTACACTGAATTGAGTCAGGTTTTATAAAAGAATGAACATATGTAGAGTTCCTATTAGTCTTTCAGTGCAAAAGCCATTGTTCAACTATAGCAAAAATTTTAAGAGTCTCCAAATTAGGTATCTTCTTGTACTTCACTGTGCAGCTTTTGCTCACGGATTCGGTCTTTGTGCCAATCACTTTACAAGTTTATTAGTTTAAAAAAAAAAAGTTTATTAGTTTAAAAATGATTGCAACATCCCGTTAATAAAATGGAAACGTAAAATAAAATGATTTAGTATTTTAAATAACTTCAAGCTCTATACTGCAGTTCTTCATATGAAATACTGACCCAACAAGAAGCAGATTCAGCCCAGCAAGACTCTGATGCCCCAGTGGAAATTACTACTTAATTTACACAGCCTTGCTTTGCTTTGCCTAAAAAGTACAATACAACTCAATTAAGAGCATATCTTCGGGAAACAATTCATATCTTCACCTAGCCATAAAAAAGTTTAACAATTTAATGAGTAGGCTTCCTGTCATTATTTTGGCAATATCAAAAAAGGGTTTTAACTTGAAAAAGCTGCTGTGATTTAGAAGACCTTAAATTTTCTAAACCAATATTAAACATCAATTAAACTTTTATTGGCTCTAAATGGAACAGTATATTGCAAGTCTTCATAACACATGAGCTCAATATGGGAAAGTTACCAGAGTCGCAACTTCTGTAACCTGATGCTGACTTGTCTGCTTGACAGATTTTTCAAGAAAGAGATTATGAGTGGCCAGTATGTGTATTTATCACAAAAAATACAGTAAAGGCCCCACTGCTCAGTCCAAGATACGTAAAATGAGCAAAATGAAAAGGCTGTAACTCATACTGGATGTCAATTGACAGATTATCCACTAAAATATCTATTAGCTAACATCTTCGGTACTGATGTTATAGGGGCACTCAAAGCTTGTGTCTGCATGTTGGAAAGATTTTCTTTAAAGCAACATTGGTCCAAACATACGGCAGTCAACATATTTAGCCATCTTCCTTTGGAGGGGTGTACCAGCCTGAAACACAATGGAAAAAAAGTTAAAATACCTTAAGTCAACTAGGAGAAATGGCATTTCACTTAAGGTTAGCTACTTTCTCTACTCATATTTTCTTGTTTAAACCTGTTGTAAAAATTAAACTTACACTTGGGTTGGTAATACAGCATTTTGATATGTGCACAACATAAAGTTATTTTCTATGAATAAACTGCACTTGAGTCTTCAACATAAGATCTCTATACTAATTGAATTTCTAGCTAAAGATGATAGCATGGAACAACAGCCTACAAGCTAGGTTTTACCTTCCATTTCAATTGCATAAAAGTAAACCTCACTGAAAATAACTATCCCCCAAACAAAATGTTGGCATTTTAAAATAAGAAGAACCTGGACTATCAGTAGTATAATGATACCATTTCACCAGTGAGGAAGTCATCTCAGCAAGTGCAGCGACTATGCCTAGGATCAGAGTTAGCAGCAAAAACCAACCTAGAACCCATTTCCTTATTCTGAATCTACTGCTCTTTCTCCAAAGCTAAACTTATACACACCCACACTTTCTAAAATACATTTCCATAAACATTTTCGAATGCTGACTACAATGTTTGCTTCAACAAAAATTAAAAAGAAAAAATGTGATTGTTTCCCAGACAACAAAAATCTAAGCTCTCTATAGAAAGGCTAATGAAACGAAGTACTGCTTAGCATGAAATGGCTATTGGAACAGTATGAATATACCAAGATATATGGAGCATCCACATGGTTATGAAGTAGTATACAGGTACCTGTGGATCTACTAATTTAGTGTGCTGTGAATTATTATTATGAAAACCCAGCCTTGCCCTCAGGTTTTGTCATTTCCTTCTTCAGAGGCTTGAACTGTTTCAAATATTCTTTCAGAAATAGTCACTGAAAAAGTGAGGAGTTTGCTTTGTGATTAAAATAAAAGTGAGTATAAAGCACAAATATTAACTCACGAGCTACTACATTTCTAGTAAAGAACACTTTACTGTAAATAGTCTCCTTAAAGAAAACTACTTCCTATTTATTTACTCTGCCCAAAAAAGCATCAGTTTCACTACCATGGCTATAATGAATATCTTGTTATCAGCACTTAGTTACAAAGTGCCACATGTATTTAATATTTTTTTATTTTATTTATCTGTTTGAGAGAGAGAGAGAATGAGAGAGAAAGCACATGAGATGGGGGGAGGGTCAGAGGGAGAAGCGGACTCCCTGCTGAGCAGGGAGCCCGATGCGGGACTTGATCCAGGGACTCCAGGATCATGACCTGAGCCGAAGGCAGTCGCTTAACCAACTGAGCCACCCAGGCGGCCCATAAAGTGCCACGTGTATATACTATTCTTTTTCCTCACAAGTTTGGCAAGACAGACTCGCCTTTTTAGAGATGAGGAAACAGAGGCTGAGAGGTAATGGGACTTGCTCAGAAACACAGAGCTAGTGAGTAACACAAATGGCACTTGAAAGATCAGTCTTCTAATTCCAAATTCACCTCACTGTTAGAGACAACTGAAACCATGCATTGTGAATACAAGCAAAATTTAAAGTAGAATAAAGTTTATGAAAGATAGTTTAAGTTTTTAAAACTTACAACTCAAATACTCTTAAGTGTATATATACTGAAATTAGAACTATTTTTACTTAGGTAAATGTGTATAACTGTCAAAAAGCATTAAGTAGTCTGAAGATGTTTCAGAAACAGCTGGTTCAGGATCCTGATTACACTTACTCAGTATCAACGAGAACTCCACCTGTACAATGGCCTTTAACTCAGCTCCTATCCTAATACCATACGTTTCAAGTGAGTAAAATGATTCATTCATTAATGTATTAAAAAATCTTGACTCTGACTCAGGTTCTCAGGCCAAGTATTTAGGATACAAAGATTTTTGAATGAAGCACAGTGTGTGCATCCTCAAATTAAAACTTTTTCACTGTGGTAACAGTACTTTTAAAAAATTAAAGCAAAAACAAAAACAGGATAAGTTATCAAAAGTACCTTATATAAAACTTCTATAAATGGTAATAAATACTTATTGAATTAAACGTACCATTTTTCTCATGTATCTGTACAATGGAATTATAGGATTGTTGGGCTCTTGCTAGATTATATTGATTCTGAAAGAGAATTATACATTTTAAATAAAAATTGTAAGTAGATGAAAATCATTACAAATAATTTATGGATGCATCACCACTATGCTTAAAAGAACACAGGAAACTGAATTATATTTCCATTTCAAAAATAATTTTCACTTAAAACCTTCATTTCTCAATTCCATTATTCTCTACCACTTTAAACAAAACCAAAGTTGTACTACAATAAAAATCTATTTAAGCTTCAAAGTTCATTTTTATAAATCCTCTTACTACTGGACAAGTATAAAGCTTTATAGTTCTAGTGCCCCTCTGCAGTGATGAATCTAGGTAAAGAATGCTATTCAGACATGAATGAAACTCAAACTCTCTTTCTCATAACTTCCATTGAAACCCCCCCAAAAAACAAAAACAAAAATCCCCCACAAAACAAAAAAACACCCCACCAAAAAAATGACAAAATATGACCTTTAGATAAGGTAACATTAAGCATATCAATGCCATCTTGAGTTAAAAATCTAAAAAATATCATAAGTGGCACCAAGGCATTACTAAAGGAGTCCTCTTTTGGTAGTGTCTTTAGATCCTCTTTTAAAGGACCAAATTTAGGATTAATTTCGTCTCTATCAGTACAACTGAGCAACATCTTAACCTACAATATATCATGAGTATTCTTCATAGTGGTACACACCCATTATGTCATAGAATTTAATATAAATTCACACAGCACAAGAATTAAAAATGTATAAAACATTCTGAGTGAAAATTCTCCTTCCTACCTGTCCTCCAATCATCCAGTTCCTCCTTTTCCTACTCAAGTTACCTACTATTAGTTTCTTGTATCCTCTTAAGATTATATAAGAAAAGTCATGTATAGCTTATTATTATTAGCCACCATCCCCTGCTTTTCCTCCCAACAAATGGTAGGTAGCATGCTACAGACACTGTTCTACCCCTTTTCTCACTTAATGTATCTTGGACCTTGTTCCCCATCAGTGTGCAAAAAGCTTAATCTTTGTTTTTTTTAAATCATGAAATATTCCATTGCATGGAGAGTCAAATACTTTATTAATCCCCAATTGGTGGACATTTAGGTTGTTTTCAATATTTTGTTGTTACAATTTTAGAGTGAGCAACCCTGCACAAATATTTCCAAAGCACTGGTTAAAAAGTCCTTGAGTGGAACTGCTGGGCCAAAAGACATATATGCCTTTGTAATCTTGAGGTGTTGCTAAGATAGCTCTCTACAAGACTGTATAAATGGGCTTGCCTACCTGCCACGTGGGAGAATGCCTCTACACGGCTTCACAAGAGTGATCTTATAAACCTTTGTTATCTGTGACAATATCAGAGGTGGAAGATGAACATAGTGTGGTTTTGATTTGCATTTCTATTACTGAGTGAGGCTGAGTGTGTCTCCAAATGTTCACAAGCCATTTATTTCTATTTCTGCAAATGGATGTTTTATAACTTTTTCTAGAGTATAGCCTTTTTCAATTTCTTTTTTTTTTTAATTTTTTTTTTTAAAGATTTTATTTATTTATTCATGAGAGACAGAAGAGGAGAGAGAGAGAGAGAAGCAGAGGGAGAAGCAGGCTCCCAAGGAGCAGGGAGCCTGATGCGGGACTCGATCCCAGGACCCTGGGATCATGACCTGAGCCGAAGGCAGACGCTTAACCATCTGAGCCACCCAGGCGCCTGACCTTTTTCAATTTCTAAGAGCTCTTTAAAAATAGTAAAACCCTCCCATAATGCATCTGAAAAACAAACATAAAACATGCCATAGTGTTATCTCCAAGTTAATGAAAAGTAGTGTTTAGTCAGTCTATATGTTCAAAGGACAAAAATACAAGAGAAAGAGATTATGTATGACAAAATACACATACACTGAAACTTGCAAATGATCAAGAAGCAGTCATTTCCTAACCCTACTGCCCACCTATAAGATAAGAGAAAAATAAGAACATTAGCCTTCCCCATTCTCTGTTGTCAACAGCATGATCTTCAATTCTAGTTTAAAGAGAATGTCACTGCAGAGGCTTTCCTGTAACAGGGAGTTAGCCCTTTCCGTTTTCTACTTCCGTGACCTTATTAACCCTTTCCTTCTACTTTCTTTCAGCTTACTTGATTGTCCTTTCTAACACGGAGTTAGAGGCTCTGTTCATTTTTATTCTTTTTTTTTTTAATGGATTTTAAAGCAAGGAGTATTCCCTCTGAGCTCTCATTTAATTTCTAGTATGCAGTGATTTCATTATTGCTGTTCTCTAGCTATTCTGCAGTTTTCATTTCAAAGCCTGGTTAAGGACTGTTTGAGTTTCATAATTCCACAAAAGGAACATTTGTTTTCTGATTTTATTATAGTTTTTAATTTAATTAGGATCAGAGAATGACATCTGTCCTTTTTCTACTTTCAAAATTTGAAGTTTTCTTCATTGACGAGGATTAGTGTCATGAATGTTCCAGACAAAGAGAGAGAGAGATGATGGAGAAAGAGGAGAGAGAAGGAAAGAGGGACAGAAAGAAAATTTTAGTATTGCCATTATGGTTCATTTCTAATTATTTTAAAAATTTCATGATTTTTTTAACCATGATTTAGAAATATGTTTAATTACCAAATTCATGTGGATTTTTATTAATTTTTTCATTACTAACTTCTAACCTTAACTGCATTGTATTCAAATTCTATGGGTTGTTTTTAAATATTAATTTATGATTTTTTCCCCATATTCCATAAATGCTCGGAAAGATGTAGTACCTAACTACTGGGCACAGTATTCTACAATTGTCCATTTGACCAAGCTTAATTTGTTATTCAAATCGTCTACATTTTTCACACATTTAACTTATCATCAACAAGGTACATTAAAATCTCTCATTACGATGGTGACTTGGTCAATTTCTCCCGTGGTTTCACCAGTTTTTAAGTATAGTCAACACGTGATTATTACTATATTAGTTTTACTTATCAGGTTTTTAATCTGTATTTTGATGCTATTTTAATAAGCAAACAATTATCATATCCTCCTGGTTGAGACTTTTATCATTAAGTAGTCACTAATGCTTCCCGCTTGAAAATTCTACTTTGATACTAATATGGCTATATCTTTTTTTTTTTAAGTGTATACTGGCATTATCTTTATCATCCTCTCTCCTTAAAAAAACAAAAAACTTTTCAATCTTTTTTAGCCTCACAGTTTTTTTAAAAAGATTTTATTTATTTGAGAGAGAGAGAAAGCATGTGTGTGTGTGAGAGAGAGAACACAAGCAGGGGGAGGGGGAGAGGGAGAGGCAGGCTCTTCGCTGAGCAGGGAGCCTGATACAGGGCTCGAACCCCAGGACCCTGGGATCATGACCTGAGCTGAGAGCGGACACCCAACCGACTGAGCCGCCCAGGCACCCCTCTAGCCTCACAATGTAAACATACTTCTTAAAAACTGCTAGATTTTGCTTTATTAATTTAATAACTGGTAACTTCAGTCCATTTGTACTTGTGACTTGCCTTTACCACCTTACTTTGTGGTTTCCATTTCTCTTGTTTTTTAAACAATTTTTTTTATCTCCTCCTAGAGTTCCAATAAGACATTTTAGACCTCAATCTGATCACCACCTCTCAACTTCTACCATAAGGTCTACTCCCATGTTCCTTTCTGTGCAACATTCTGATTTACTTCTTCTAGCCCAGCTAGTATCTTTATAATCATCATTCTGAACTCTAGTTCTGATATCTTACTAATGTCTGTATTTGATTAGGTCCCCGGCAGTCATACAGCCTCTTGTTCTTTTTTTTGAGGCGAGTTTTTCTATCTTGTCATTTTGTCCAGAGGAGAATAGAAAAGAGAACAAAATGCTAAAAGGGTAACAACGACCCCAGAAAAATACACACTTCCAGAAAGTGGTCGCTTTTCTGTTCAGAGAGTTGCTGCTATTCTTTTCTTCGATTTCCTGTTGAGTTTGTAGGTGTTCAGAATAGTTTGATACCTATCCAGCTGAATTCCTGGGACCAGACGAAATTTAGGTCTCCTACTCCTCCGCCATCTTGCTCCTCCTCCTGATTTACTTCTTTTAATCAATTAATTCTCCCTTCTGATACCTAACCCATCTATTGTTTCTCATTTCAATTATATTTTTCATTTCTATATATTCTATTTCATTCTTTTTCAGATTTGCCTGATTATTCCTGATGGTCTCATTGCTTAATCAATTTCAGGATTCCTTTTTTCTTTTTCTTTACATTATGTTTTTCAAATAACTATTCATTTTCTCATAACCCTAATATCTGAAGTCTTTATTCTGTGTGCCTGATAATTCCAAAATGTAGTCTTTGGGAATATATATCTCATTTATTGTTTCTGCCAATTCTCATGTATGCTGGCTTACTTGTGTGCTTGTGATCCTTCAGTGAATTCATATTTGCTTGATCTTAACCTTTAAGAATCCTGTAGGTCTAAATCAGAAAAGCTTTCCTCTGAAGAGTATCTGTGTCTGCTTCTGATAAGAACTACTTGAGAGCATTTTAGCCTCCTTGGAGAATCTCAGGATTATGCAAGGTCTTACATTTGGCTTGCCAAACTTGCTCATTTATAAATAAAAGACGTAGTACAGGTAGCACCTCCTCCTCTCCCTGAAAGAAAAAACTAAAAACCAGATCTCTCATCTGAATGGGATCACTCACCAGAGAATTCTGTAGGTAAATAATTGGACAACATAAAAGGATAGGTGCCTTTCCTGACTGCGGAAATAGTTTGGGAGCTGCTCCAAGAGTTGTGTGTTCTAAGATTTCACTATTTACCTCAACTATCATGTACTCCACGTGGTGAATGAACATTTGTAAGGGCACTACCTTGCCTATCCAAACCCCGAATTCTTGCTAAGTCATGATAGCAGAACTCTACTTTAGAAGGTTTTCTCACCACTACAGCCTAGAGATAATGTTATAACCTATAGCCCATTTTAACTGACCAGAAAACCAGCCTGGCCAACATCCTTCTGCCTCATGGCTTCCTCTCAACTCCTGCTGGCTGAGCTTAGGGGAGCAAGCTAATGGCAAGACTGTACAATGACTCTGGCTTGCACAGAGCTGCAGATCCTCAGCAATATCAATTTGACCCTTTCTCCAAATGTCACGTGTACAGAGAGGCAATTTTTTTTGTTTTCCAGGACTTATGTATATCATTTTAGTAATATTTTCAAGAGACAAACTCATTCATTTCTTTTGAACCAATAGCTGATATCTTTAAAAATATTTAAGATATTTTTGAAGTAGTAGTTATATGTCAAAAAGAAGTTCAAAGAGCACAAATGATTCAAAGTCTCCCTCCCATCTCTAACCTGCCCTGTCAATATTTCAATACCCCTTTATCAGAAACAGTTGTTAGTACTTTCTTGAATATCTTTATAGGTGCTTAAAAAAAATCTATATAATAGATCCTTGTCTCTCTCTCTCTCACACACACACACACACGGTAGCATATTTTTAAACACCATTTAGCACGTTATTTGACAGTATTTTTAAAGTTAACATTCAGACTATTTCCTGTAGAGTTTAAAATCCTTTAAGGTAAAATTCCTATTACATCATGTAAAGTTTCCATATTCTTAATATTTGTTAAGAAAAAAAAATTGAAGAGTGAAGTTTTATCATAACAATGCATTCAAAAAATTCACCTAAGACATACTTTAATATGCAAATGTGCTCAGCTGCCTGATTTAACATTCTATATACAATGGTTCTATTATTTACTTGCTAAGAAACCTACAAATCATGGACATGTAAAAGTTGAAAGCAATTCTACTGACATTGAGTAATTCCAAGGGAACTGTGGCACTGAACACAGTATTGATATTACAGAATTTTAAAGCTAGAAGAGACTTAAAATATCCAGACCAATTGTATTTTAGATAGATACAGACACCCAGAACAGGTAACTTTACACAGTGAATTATCAGTAAAATGTTCACTTATTCAAAACAATCATTGTTCTAAGCCTTTTATATTTTCTTTAACAAGAAAAGCATGCTAATTTTTTTTAAAAACATGATGAAATTTAACATCAAGTTCTACATATAAATAAATGCCAGGAAGAAATTTTATTAAAAGACCAGAATTATACCAAATGTCAATAGTATTTCTAGATAGTCAAATTACAGATGACTTCAGTTTTTTGTATTTTTTTCTGTTAGAAACCACACAGTGAGCATAAATTTTATCATTACAAAAAAATAAAATCTGATGTCTTACTACATAATCACTCTACTGACACGTTTAATACACCTAAAATATACACACAGTTAAGAAATGCTAGTTAATGCAGTTAAGCAATTCACTAGACTTTATATAAAAAATGTTCTGTTTCAGTGTAAAGAAATAGCTGTTAAAAGAACTCAAGTAAAACAGTTACTCTACGGTATCCCAAATAAATGATTTTCATAATAGCTTTTCAATTTTTTGCTTCCTCTGTGAGTTAAGATTCTAGTGGACTCATGCTTTAATGTGCAATACAGTTATAAATACACATTTAAATTTCATACTGTTTAGGTAGGCATTTAACACAAAATTCACACAGGCCTTTAGGAACATCCAAATTTTTTAATATGTTAGGTCAAGATAATTTCCATCAACAAATATTTTTGTAAAATATACTAACTTTAGAATATTATCCTTGGTCGATTTAACTGTTTACAGATAACTACAATCAGACACGGAAAGAGGTTTCTGACATCATGAATAAAAAGCAGAACTCCGTGGGTAAGAGCAGAGACTTAATACCAGACTGTCTGGTTCCAGTCCACGTTCTGCCCACTGTCACCTTACACAAGTTATCTAACTTCATCTACAAAATGAGGACAATAAGAATATCTACTCTTAGGTCAGTAAAAGGATTGAAATAGTACCTACAAGTGAAAAGTTTGGATCACAGCCTCGCATATAAATGCTCACTGGGAATTAACTATAATAACATGATCTCAATTTCAGGAAACTTCAAGGTATATATAATTTTTAACTTATTAGTATGTACATACCAGTAGTAGATTTAAGATTATAGACATGCTTACCTATAGGAAGAATAACAAAGACTAAAAGAATAAGAAGAAGCCTCATAAGAGAACAGAAAATACATATTATCATTTATGTGATCTTCTTAATAAAAGTACCTTATTTGCTCCAAACTGCACTCTGGCTTTGCCTTTGACTAACGTGGCATTGATTTGCATGATAACTGATTCTATTGAGTAGGCACTGCTCCAGCCCTAAGGGAAGAAAACACTTCTGTAAAACACAATGGTACTCTTGATTTCCACTTTGGAAAACTTAATAAAATGGCACATAACAGCTTGACAACAGCAAGACAATGTTAAGAAGTCTGTATACAAGAGAAAAAGGTAAAGTTGGACTGCTTCTAAAAATCTTGTAAAGCAAAAAACAAAAAAACCCCTATGTTCTAAGTATCAAACATAAGCAAATTATAACCTTATAGAAACATTGCTCTTAGAACACCTCTCCTTGCATAGATTAAGCATCAAGTACAATGTCATTTTATTGGTTTGCCCTAAGTACCTTTTCATTATAAAAAGCAGGTGCTCTTCAAAACAGTTTTTTTAAGTAGGTGGTATTACATCAGAGCTTTTCCACTCAGAATCTAATTTACATCATCAAAACACTCCACTGAGATTGAAAATATGAGTACTATAAGAAAATAGTAACCTGTTTTGTGAGAAGTTCCATACATAGTGCTCCACCGCCCAACACATACCTTAAAAAGAGAAAAGGAATCCTATTTAATTCTCTAGATCTCAATGTTCCTTCTTAATTTTTAAAGGACCACCACTAAGAAGTTTGCATACAAGTAAAGGTTAGAAGATAACATGCAAAAATGAGAACAGTGGTTAGGGTTCTAGGACTAAAAGGGTAGTTAAAAAATTCTAATGTCATCACCTTACTACAGTCTTAATTTTTTGTTTTAATAATGGTTCTTAGAAACAGAATACTTGAAGACTCTTAAGGATATCAGAAACTAGGACCTTAGCCCTAAATATTCTACAGAATGGGAATGTTATATTCATCTGAAAATTTCTCTGCCATCACAATGGTACCAACTTTACCCTATTTATAATAATGAACAGGACATGGTATTTTATGGTTAAATTGCTTTTATCCATACTTTTGTGAGGATCAAATGGTTATGACCATAAAGCCTCTCTCCGGGACTCCTCAATTTCTCTTTCCAATCCTGAGAACTGTTCTCTGAACCAGACTTTTGGGAATTTCCCAGATCTCTCTTAGGAAATCCTTATTTAGATCAAGATTATTCAACCTTTTAACCCTTTCTCAAACAAAATAATTTCATTTCTCCTTTAATGTTATTTTAAACTTCAAAATATATGAAATATCATGCCTTAAAATAACATCAAGGAGGGGTGCCTGGGTGGCTCAGTCGGTTAAGCGGCTGCCTTCGGCTCAGGTCATGATCCCGGAGTCCCGGGATCGAGTCCCGCATCGGGCTCCCTGCTCAGTGGAAAGCCTGCTTCTCCCTCTCCCTCTGCCTGCCACTCTGCCTGCTTGTGCTCTCTATCTGTCGAATAAATAAATAAAATCTTTAAAAAAAATAACATCAAGGGAATGATAATTATAGAACACAGACTGATAAATCTTGAAAATACATAAGCTAAGACCACAAGTCTGATTAGATCTAAGTGAACACCGAGTCCATTACAAACTTTTTTGTCCTCTGGGGCTTTGCCCGTGCCTTTTCCCTTGCTTGACATTCCTTTGGCTCCCTGCTCTTCCAAATGCCATCTTTTCATCCAATAAAACTTGCCAAGACCATTCTAGCCTGTAGGTTTTGCATTCTGGCTAGCCAAATGCATCCTTGTGTTGACTAAACCAAATCACAGAAAAGTAAGGAATCTAAAAACTTCTACTGTAGACCATTATCATTAGTTATAGTGAAATTATTCAATAATGGAAATTATTCAATAATCGCCCCACATCCTGGAGAATTTAAGTCAGTGTCTCCCACACCGGACTGCACCAAACTCTGGGAACTTCCACAGTTAATGTTTATAGGAGGGAAAGAAAAACACTTCAAAACACTAAATTTGGGTGGAGAATCAGGAAATTTTAAGCTTCTTTGTATATTCTCCTAGGTCTCTAAAACACAAATCTATCTCCAATCATTTGAATCTCCCACTGGACTCAAAGAGATCTTGTATATAGTGATTTTAAATAAGCACTTGCTGATTTAACAGAATTAGAAGATCCATGTTTTCATTTGGATTGTGGTTTCTCCACAAACTGCTCAAACTCTAGTAATCTGTTAATGAGTCAACACTATTCTTGATCCTTATACTTCAGAAATGCTAAATACAGACAGGGGCTCAGGGACTGATCTTAAGAAAAGGAGTTTTGTAGACCAGCCCGAGTTTCCAATTATCTAACTGCCACCTTTCTTTTTAGCACTCCACTCTTCATTCTGGGGGTAGAGAGTCTTTCAGGTGAAGGAGGCAAGTTTTTGTACTCACGGGCCAAAAGAAAGTACATTTCTAAAAGGCCATAACTACACAAATGTTTGTTGGATGTCTAAACAAAAGAAACAGTTCTAGTACCTACATAAAAAGTGAGGTAGGTAAACTTTTCCTTAACACACGCTATTAGCAACATGTACACCCAAAAGGAGTGGTTGATTCTACTTCCACATTGAGTTATATTCATTTTACCAATATATGTTCCAAACCCTTATTGCTCTTTGCCTCCAAACAAATAGTTCCTGCTAAATATTGAGACAATTCAAGGATAGTAAAAAAAAAAAAAAAAAAATCCAAAGATCATTTAAGGATAATATGCCACATACACCGGCATAGTAATATTTTCTTTTTTTTTTAATTATGTTATGTTAATCACCATACATTACATCATTAGTTTTTGATGTAGTGTTCCATGATTCATTGTTTGCGTATAACACCCAGTGCTCCATGCAGAAAGTGCCCTCTTTGATACCCATCACCAGGTTAACCCATTCCCCCACCCTCTCCCCTCTAGAACCCTCAGTTTGTTTCCCAGAGTCCATAGTCTCTCATGGTTCGTCTCCCCCTCTGATTTCCCCTCCTTCATTCTTCCCCTCCTGCTTAAAAAACAAACAAACAAAAACTTCAGTTGTTAGGTACCTGGCTGGCTCAGTTGGTGAAGTGTGTGACTCTTGATCCTGGGGCTATGAGTTTAAGCCCAGTGCTGGGTGTAGAGACTACTTAAAAATAACATCTTTAAGAAAAACAAAACAAAAAACAAAAACCAAAAAAAAAAAAAAACCCAAAAAACCAAAAACACCCAACCAAAGCAAAAAAAATAATAATAAAACTTCAGCTGCCAAAGTTGTATAGCAAAACACTATCCTAAAGCTTAGCCTCTTCAGGCAATTCATAATTTTCGTTATACTAGAAAATCCTGGCAATAATGTTTGCTAGCTAACCTCCCCAACCACAAGCTAGAACGATCACTTAAATTGCACAGATGAGGGGGCAAGAGAAACCATTTATCAGTACTAAAGTGTTTATACAACATGAGTAAGTGATCCCAAAAAAGAGATGGGAAATGTTAAAAGTTTAATATTATAGCCAAATTGTTGACAATAATCACATTAGAAAATAAAAAGGGGGAAAGCTTACATAGGCCACGTAAAACAGTCAAGACCCTCCCTTTCTTGAGGTAAGGAAATAAACTATAGACTGTAAGAACAGAACTTTTAGATAGAAATAAAGAGAAAATGCTGGCACTTAAAACCAGACTATTAAGGACATGTTCCCTTAATACAGACAGAAACAATCCATGGTCATCTAGAAGTAGAAATATTCTCTTCATGGATGAATGGGGCACAAATAATAATTCATATTACATCAACCAATAAAGAAAGCATTTTTAGTTGCCTACAAATAGCCGCTCAAAATGTACTAATGAGCTAAAAAAGAAATAATCTTTATGATTCTCAAGTTACTATACTCTGATCTGGACTAAGCCAGAAAAATAGACAAGTACTGATGGCTCATTAAAATAGCTCATAAAAATACCAAGCCTTGGTGGTGGGTGCCTGGGTGGCTTAGTCAGTTAAGCGTCTGACTTTGGCTCAGGTCATGATCTCAGGGTCCTGGGACTGAGCAGTGAGTCTGCTTGTCCCTCTGCTCCTCCCCGCACTCGTGCACTGGCTCTCTCTCAAATAATTAAATCCAAAAAAATTTATAAAAAAAAAATAAAACAAGACTGGGAATTGCAGATTACCCTAAATTGTCTATATCTTGCTAATTTACTGTAATTCCCTCTCGTTCATTGACTCACAAATATTTACTGCACATATATATACTACACACTGAGCCAGGCAAAGTATACACTGAAGAAAACTGACAGGACCCTGTGCTTCATGATGTTTACCATCTAGTTAAGATTATAGATGTTAAACAAATAATACAAAGTAGGGAAGGGGGACCCAGAGTTCTAGGAGAAGGAATAACCCGGCGGGGGGGGGACCCTTTTTAAAAATGTGGTAGTCAGGAATAGCATCTGTACGAGTAATGCACAAGTTGAGATTTGTTGGAGTTAAAAGTGTGGGTGGGAGTAACCTCCCAGGCAGAGGATTGTCTGTTTAAGAAAGGTTATGAGGAAAAAAAAGAGTTTGCTGGGTACCGGGGGCTAAAAGACATTCAGTGGGGCACCAGCTTTGACAGGAGAAGTGTGGTACAAGAGGATTAGAGAGGAAGCCAAGGGCAAGATCGCAGAGAGCTTGTAGAATATGGTAAGAGCACCAACCTGTAAGAGCAATGAAAAGGCATGGAAGAGTTTAAGCAGGAGAGCAACATAATCAAACACACATTTATAAAAGATCACTTTAAAAGCTTACATGAGGGAAGGAACACAAGCAGGAGTCTGGTCAGAAATCCTCTGAAATGGTCCACGTGAGAACTGATGATAGCCGCAACAGAAATGGAGACAAGTAACTGGATCTGGGAACTCTCTGAGAAGGAGAATTAGAGGACCAGATGTGGGAAAGAAGGTATAAAGGAAAACTCCTATGTTCAATAACTGAGATGGGGAACACCGGGAAAGGAGACTGGAAAGAAGAAGATTTCAAGTTTTCATGCTATAGAGCTGGAGATGCCTACATTCAAGTAGACATGTCAAGAAGGCAGGTAGATACTGGGAGCAGAGAAGACATAAAAACATAAGATACAAAACCTGGGAGTCACTGACCAGAAGATATTTTGAAAGCCATGGGAGCCTTTTCAACAACTACTGCTAGAGTAATTGGACCATTAGGCAAAACTCTCTGACCTAAATCTCATATCTTATACAAAAGGTAACTCAAAATGATTCACAGAATTACCTGTAAAATGTAAAACTACAGAACTTTGAGAGAACACAAAAACAGGAAAAAATCTTCAGGATCTAGGACAAAGCAAAGAGTTCTTAAATTTGACACTAAAAGCATAATCCACAAAAGGAAAAACATCTATAAATTGAACCTCATCAAAGCTAAAAGCTTTCTGCAAGACACAAGATATAAAAAAAAAAAGTTGCGCTTCCATACACTAGTAATGAAATAGCAGAAAAAGAAATTAAGAGAATGATCCCATTTATAACTGCATCAGAAAGAATAAAATAAGGAGGTGAAAGACCTGTACTCTAAAAACTCTAAGACACTGATGAAAGAAATAGAAGGTGACACAAATAAATGGCAAGGTACACTATGCTCATGAATTGGAAGAATAT